TTCTCTGATAAGCACATTTTAAAATTCCCCTGAGGTTAATTTTGGGAGAGCTGACCACAAATATTTCTTTCAGTGTTTTATGGGAAAGCACCCACGGGATCAGATGGGGGCAGAATGAGGATGCTGTGGCCCTGCTAGGCTGGCTGCAGAAGCCCTGGTGATCACATCTGCTGCTATGGCTTATCTACTGAGTCACATCTCTGAGAATGCCAAACAGCCAAGAGCTGTCAGCAATCTTCTGGGAAAGGAAATTTGCAAGTGCCTTCTAGAGAATTCCGTCCCTCTGCTGGCCCGTGATTTGAAAGGCTTGGCTCACCTTGGGGAGTGTGGATAATGAAATTCAGATTAAGTCCATCTGACTCATGATATACAACAGGGAGTTTGGTGTGCCATGTGGCCACCCATGCTTCTTTTTGGTGGTGGTGGGGACATTCGCCCAGGACACCCACTGAGGATAATCCAAAGGGAAGAAGGCATGGAGGTAGGAGATTTGTAAGTGTACAAAAACCAAACAGCAATGGGGGCATAGAGGAAAGAGAGGTTTAAGGAAGCAGATGCTCCTGGTGGATTTCCTGCATTCCTAAAGGTCATAACCAAATTAGGAAGAGCCATGACAACAGGATGGGAAAGGAGCTGAAGTAGTAGCCAAGGCCATGCAAGCCGGCTATGGGGGGCCCTGCCAGGTTGAGTCTGTAGCACTGAGGTAACAATAATAGCTCTTCTTTTAACAAGAGCTCAGTTGAGAAGCAAAAGCCTCCACACACCAGGTTATGTGTCAAGGGGGAGACTTTAGGGGTAGGAGTTTAAAGAGGCTGGATACGAGCACAGGTAGGGTGTCATGCTATAGAGAGAAGGGACAGACATGCTTCCATCAAGTGTTTTGTCATTTTTCAGGAGTTAAGGGATGAGAGAAAAGGAGATAAGCTAGGGAGAAGGTGGCAGAGATAGAGTGGGTGGGATCTTGACATGATGAGGACATGACCCAGGTAAGATCTGAGACTCCAGCAGAAGATGATCAAAGCCAAGTATGGGGAGCTATAGTGAGAACAGTGAGAACAGGATGAAGTGTCAACAGAGAATGGCAAGGACTGCCACCCACCTGCCCAGTTACAAACCCCACCAAATGCAGTTGCTTCCCATATACAACCAGGCTACTCTGCTTTGGGTTCTGTTTGAAAGGAAGGAGTATTAGCTAATTCTGAAACACTCAACTCTCAGGTTATGGTTAGCTTTTAAACAAGGCTCCATCTACCTATGATCCTGCAGAGTTGATGGAGAAGCCTTGCTTATAGTTCCAGGTGACTCTGGTGACTTGACAGAGCGCTGGCCTGGGAGGAAGACAGAAGCCCACAGGCTGGAGTAGTTATCATCTCAGCTTTTCTTGCACAGCTCGGTAATTGCCACCTGGTACTTACTATTCCACCTAAAAATCTTTTCTACCTGTCTCACACCCCAGGACCTTCCCTAGCCTCTGCCTTTACAGCAAGCTACCTGCACAAGACCAAACTTAGTAGCTATACCTTTTTCCTCCCTGCAGTCACATTTCCTTGAGCTGATTCTTGGCCCTCCTGTGTCCCTTGATCCTGTCTCCATAGTTACACGGAGAATCTCCAGCCACTTCTCACTCCTGTGCTTTCCTCTCCACCCACCCTGCACCAGAACCCACCTGTTTCATTTCCATTTACCTCCATGCAATGGGAAGCTCTCCATCAGGAGCTGGGAACTGTAGCCAGGAATTTATAAAGCTACTTCATGAGTCCTCCATCACCCCCGACTGCTCATAAAACATTCCCTGCTATTCAAACAGAGACCCTTAGCCCTAATTAGCACTTACACCCACATATGCATGCACGTGTGCACGCAACACACATGCCTCAATCTGTCCCTGAGCCTCAAGGCTGCTTAGAACTTATCAGGCAACAAGAAACAGCTGGCCCCTGGTCCCTTTTGTCATTGCTCCTGCAAATCCAGGCACTTGCCTCTCTCAGTCTTGTCAGGTGCCAGAGCTCCCACCTGAATCACTCAGGTCTTTCCTGAGCCAAGATTGCTTCTGATCAGAGGCAGCTACCCCAGCAAGGAAAAGCAAACCTGAGTCTTCCTTCCATCAGACGTCTCAGTGTTGCAGCCGGGGCTCGTTCGCACACATGATTTATGAACTAATTTAGCATGTAAGGAAACATCTGCATTTTGCTTTTATCATCTTGCCAGCAGACAGGCTGAAGACAAGATGCGTACTGTAGACTTGTTTAATGGGGCCTTAAACGTTCCCTCTCACTAGCCTGAGCTTACACAAGGCTCTGGTTTCAGGACTTGTCTGATCTAACTGACATAACACAAACAAACACAGAAATAAAGCGCTCCTAAACACGTCCGTACCACAGGGACAATTGGAATGGCCATAAAATCCTTACTGCTCAAGTCCCCCCAAGAGCATTCTAGTGGCCAGGACTGTCTTGGAATTTGGGGAATAAAAAGGTGACTTGGTTATTTAATACTATGCATCCAGACTGGCCCCTTTTATTATATACAGTTTTGAAATGTTCATTTAGAGGCACATGAACTTATAAGAATATTTATTTTGGGAAAAACATCAAAGTTGGCTGATGTTCCAAGCAGAATTGTAACCCCCACCCCCCACACACATATACACAAAAAGATGACAGTCAAGTCCAAATTCCTAAAACTGTGACTGTGACCTTCTTTCGACCTTGTCATTGGAGATCTGGTCCTTGCAGATATAATCAAGTTAATATGTGGTCACACTGGATGGGTGGACTTCAGCTCAGTATGAGAAGAGGAAATTGGATTCAAAAGGACACAGACATAGGAAGAAGGTCATGTGAAGACAAAGGCAGAGACTGCAGGGGTGCATTTATGAGCCAAGGAGCACCAGGGATGGCCAGAAGGCAGCAAAGCTGGGAGAGGGGATGTGGCATGTTTTGCTCTGAGCCTCCAGACAGGCCTGGCCCTGCAGGGGCCTTGATTTTGACCCCTGGTCTCCAGAACTCTGAATGAATGTATGCTCATGATTTTAAGCCAGCATGTTTGTGACAATTTCTTATAGCATGGCAAGAAAGTAATGCAGGTATGCCATGATCCCTGTGATACTGTGGCCATTGGCGTGGCATAGGCATAAGGGGAGGAGCCCAACATGGTACCTGCTACTGTCTGAATCTGTAGTACCTTCCTCCTGTGTGTGAAAGGCTCAGTCCCCCAGCTTGGAGACTTTAAGAGATGGGGTAAAGTGGGCGTTTTCATGTCACTGGAGGTATGCTCTTGAAGGAGACTGTGGGATGCTGGTCCCTTCTCTCCTTTGCTGCCTGGCTACTGTGAGACGAGCATCTTTGCCCCACTTTGCACATCTCACCTTGCCATAAGCCAAAAAGCAAACCCCACCTTCAATGATGCTAACTGAGCATACTGAAACTTCAAAAACTGAACCCAAGTCAAGCCCCTTCTCCTTGTAAGTTGATTTGTCTCAGGTGTTTGCTAGAGTGATGCAAAGTGAACAAATACATCACCATACTGAATACGCTCCCTACAGTCACAGGTCTCTGCTGCTTCCTGCACAAACTAAAGGCTGAAAATGGAGATCCTCCAATGCCACCCTGTATGTGTGTGCTCACCGTGCTTATCTATTGACATCGGGATTGGCAGCCTACACTCGGACCAAGAAAAATCTTTAGTATCTTGCATGAGTGAAGGTGCCGAGGAGATATTCCCACTGTGGCTGCCATTTGGTCTTCACAGCACCTTGAGACAGCTGTGCCTGAAACAGAGACTCTTTGTTGAGCTAGAGACCTGACAGTCCCATAGAGAACACACCTAGACCAAACCTGTGACTGTACCCAGCTTGAAACACTAGCTAGGCACACAGTGTGCAATGGGCCAGCCCTTTGCACATCTCTCTGGTTGTCTTTGTTTATCATCCTGGAATGTGCCATGGGATGGAATCAACAGGTTATTTGCCAGATCCCTCTCATAACAACATTGCATTCAAATGTGCCCTTGCTGGGGTCTCTAGAAAGCTTTCCTGAAGTGCTCTGTCTGGCAGGAAGGAGTCAGTCAATCCACAGAACAGGACCTGATAGGAACTTATTACAGAGGCCCTCTTCTCTGTCTCCTACAGCCACCTCCTCCTGAGATCTTGGTAAGCTTGCTAAGCTGTGCTTTATTGAATATGGTTATTTTCCCCCAGAGGACTTTTACTCATAATCATACTCCTGATTTCACCACCTGGGGGCCAAAACATTTTCCTAGGAAGAGAGACCTCATTCCTGTATTCACAGCAATAAACCAGAGGCTTCTCCAAGTCTCCTGATTTTAAGATTTGGGTTGGCAGGTCCTACATAAGTGCTATGATATTCCAGTCCTTGCCTTCATTTCTTGTTATTCTTGCTAGTTCAAGGGCCTGTTTATGAGGTAAAGAAGACTGAGATCAGTGTTGCTCACAGTGATGTTCCCAGCCCCCCACATAGTGCTGGGACCAGAAAAGGTTTCTGCTAACTCCTTTTCCTATGAGTGTGCCCTGCCTCTCAGGGTTGACTTGACCCTGGCCTCGCAGTTCTGGGCAAGCTGGCCATCCTTCCTCTGAGCTCATAGCAGGAAGAGGTCTCAAGATGACAAATGTTGATGCAGACAAGCTGGAGTCAACTTCTCGCCCCGAGGTCTGTTTTGCAATCTATAAAGGGCAAAGGAGATTGCTTGCAAGCATCCGTTAGGAGCCAAGAATTTGAACTTGCTATCCTGGCTCCTACAGTGCTGTGGCTCCTTTCCCAGCTAGAATGGTGAATTTGTGTCCCGAGTTATTTCTGCTGAGTTGCATGCCCATATGTAACCTCTCAAAATGAGCTGGCTCCCAGAGAAGGCTTCAGGATACTGAGGTCTGCGCATGCCAGTGGCATCATCTGAGATCATCATTTGAGCCTTTGGCGAAGGCTCCAGGCCTGAGGATACCTGTCCCCACTCTATCCAGGACTCCTGAGCCACCTGCAGCTTACCACTAAGAGGATGGGGAATAGTGAACTGCTTCTTGTGGGCACGGACAGGAAGTGGGCTCTGCTTCTGCCCCAGGTTTTCCGTTTGCTGGGCTTTCCTTTGCTGTACCCTGTGCTTAAGCTTTTGCAGGCGTTCTTGTGAGCGAGAAATGAACTGGGGTCTACGGACTTCCAGTGCTTCCTAATTGGGAGAAAGAAGAGATTTTACTTTTTAAGAGAAGGGAGACCAAGAAAAATCACATCTACACATCCATCTGATTTACTCAATGGGAGCCAATCAAGAGCACAACAAACCTCAGCAGGCAAAAGCCACAGTGTAAATCCATGTCATCATCTCCCCCCTGTAATTATGTGTAAAGATGGAATGGGGACACTGATGAAAAGCTGATGGAGGTCAGTTCCAGCCAGCAGCACAGAACCCACTGCAGCAGGACCAAACAATAACTAGTGTTGAAGCCACTGAGGACCAATGGCCAACATCTTTCCATTTGTGGATTAATGCTGCCAAGCCATTCACTACCAAGGAACCCAAATCTGAGGGTCCTGTAATACGACATTCTAAGAGACATGGGTGGGGCTAGAAGGCAGCTGCTAGAATTCTACATACTCCTTTCTGCTGGGGTTGGAGTCTTAGGAAGCACAGGCACTGTTCTGACATGGAAAATGGTGCCTTTCAGAAGTTCTGTCTGTGGTTTACAGGAACTGCTTCTCCTGGGTAGAAAGAGACAGAAGTCTTTGCTATGCAGAGTGGTTCTGTGAACTTCACAGGACAGATCAGCATCCTCTGCATCTCCACTGCCATATCAGACACTGGGGAAGTCACTTGTACCCATTCTCTTCATGAATGCCTGCATAGGTTCTGCAAGTCAGTTGTCTTTATTCTCATTAGACAGATGTAAGCAATGAGGCTCAAGGTATTTTAGTAGACAATGTGCTGATGCTCAGCAGTATAAATTTCTCATGTATCCCCTGCTGTCATTTGTTGTCCCAACTTCCTGGTTCTTGAATGTCTCTGCTCAAATTGTTCAATTAGAAAATATGCCTGCAGCATCCACACACACTTCTCCCAATAGGTCCTACTGGGTTTTCTAGGTCAACCAGAGCATCATGGTACCTCACAGATTGCCTTGTGCAAGAATGAGTCCCACATGGCTATCTCTATGTGAAGTTATGCAGGCAGACACATGCCACGTCTCAGTAACTTCGTATCTCTCACAGGCACTGTCCTGGGTCTGCCTACAGCAGGAGCTCAGCACAGGTTTGCTGGGTATGCTGCCAGGCTAGATGTGCTCCTTAGTCCTATTCACCTCCCTGCTCATTGGGGGCTCAGAGAGGAACACACTGTGAGCTCCATCCCTGTCATGCATGTTCTCCTGGTAAATGCACTGCAGGCCATCAGCTACTGAGTAACTGACTCACCAGTCACTGAATGTACAGAAGCTGCAGGGAATGGTCAAGGCTGGAGACAAAGCCCTTAGAAGGCCCTGCTGGCCCAAGTGTGATTGCTGCTTTACTGTTCATGCATTTGAGCACATCTTAGAGGTTCTGGATTTGGGGGACACCCTGGATGTTTTTTGCAGGCTCATCAAGGTCCAGGTCTACAGCAGTGAGCCAATGGAGCTTTCTTCACATTCAGGGAGAGGTGCACCCCATAACAAGTGCCTTCCCCCAAAAGTGCATTTGACTATGTAGAAAGCTAGTGGCAGCAATTTTCTCCTGAGGTAATCCACCCTGTTAAATATTATAACTTTAATTGATATATGTATGTTACTTCTATAATCGGAGAAGAAGCTAAAAGAAAAAAAAAAAACTTTCACGTCCTTCAATCCATGACTGCATGATTTCGGAAGTCCCTTGAGTCTTTCTTTCAAAGACTATGCACCCTCATTGGTCTATGGGGTGTATAGAGACTCTCATCTGAGAGGGATCTTTTGAAAATCAAATGCAAAGTGACCCTTGTGACCTCTGGACACCCTTTCATTACTATGGTCATGGTTGAGAATACCAACAGTTCTCATTCTTACCAGGCAGAGTTATATGTCATTCTCTCCAGGAGGCAAACAGCAGTGGTTAAAAAAGGTTAGGGTGGGAGGGGCCAGTGACAAAGACAAGGGACTTGCAGTCTCAGGCAGAAGTGAGGTCAGGTGCATGCCACACTCCCCGGGAGAAACCTCCCCTGGGATAGAGTCAAGCGGGATGGGGAGGAGTTAAAGGCTTTACCTGCAAGGTCATGGAGCTTCCTAGCAGATGCTTAGGCTCAGAACTACCTTCCAATGGGTCAGAGCTCTGTGGTCCCTCTGCGGTTGTTGGAGAGGGCGTCGCTGGTGAGGGCTCAGGTGTGAAAATGAGGTCCTCGTGCTTTTCACATTCCTTTAGGTTTACAACCAAGTCGCAGCATGTATAATCTAGGAAAGCAGATTTACAATCCATTTAGAGGGCACCCAGCGGCTCCCCTGCCCAGCTCCCAAACATAGGAAGACACACAAGGCAATTTAGAGAATAGAAATATCAGTGAGTTGTTAACGGGCCTTGTTAAGCTCATGAGATCAGCCTCATCACAGAGCTTCACAGCTGCCCTAGTCACTGCGGCAGGCGTCAGCCCGAGTCCATGACTGGATAGTTAGGTGCTCCTTACACTGCAGTGTTTAGAATGCCTTTGCTCAAAATGAAAGGAGACTTTTCTAGTCTGGATTTCATATTAAGTGTGTCCCGTGTAATTATTACAGTTCGCTTGCTTCAAGACATCATATTAATCTGTCTTGTGTTTGCCACACTAATGATATAATGACCAGGGATGGTGTTCAATTATGTATCCCTCCCCTTAATTTTCTAGAGTCGACCACTGGCTTCACATAAGTAATCAGAGGGTTTTCCTCTCAAAGCTGGTGGGGCCCTTTCTTGGGGCTGTTTTAGCTTCCTTTTATGGAAAGGGTCAGACTATGAGTGACCCCTTAGCATCCCAGGTAAGGCCATCTCTGGGCTACCTCCTGATTAAGCCTTGGTCTCAAATGCAAGGATAGGTCCTTCCATCACCTTAGCCCACCCTTCCCCTCTGACCTCCTTACTCTCTTCTGTGCTTTCACAGTCCCAGCCTCACTTAACTCCCCCTTTGTCCTAACCCAGCATCTTCTTGCACCAAATGGCCTCTGACCTCCACTAAGTGCCTTTGGTTCTGCTTCCTGGCAAATCCCCACCTCCAGGCTGAGTCCTGACTATCAGGGCCTCTCCTTCATCCCTGCTGCCTCCATTCTGCAGCATCATCAGAAGGCAGGTTTGAGGATCATGTCTTAACCTCCCTTCCAAGCCTCAGCCACAGAGTCAATTGTGTCCCTTAACTGCAACTGGCACTGTCATTGGCACTGGGTGAGGTAGATCTGGGGTCCTGGTGACCTGCATAAAGCTACCTTCTATCTGCTTATGAGGTGTGACTTACCCACCATGTTTACTTGTTAGTCCTGCTCTTTCTACCCTGCCACTAGATATCTCCATAAGGCCCGCATGTGTGACTCATCCCAGAAAGGCACTGAGATATTTATGTGCATCAAGAAAGAACCCGGTGGCCACCGCCCTCACTCCTTACCTTTTGGGGACTCCTTTTCTATCTCAACAGCACCATCTTCCTGCAGAGAGGCACATGTAGTTTGTAAAGGGCAAAAAAACCCAGACAAGGGGATTCTGGGTGTCAGGAAGTACGGGTGCTGTTTCTCTTGGGGCTCAGGAAAGATGCTAGCCTGACCAGCATTGCTTGGTGGACTGTTCCCGTCAGGAGGGAGGTGTTTAATGGGCTTCTGTCCCACTGGGGAAGCCTGATGGGCCACTTGTGCTTTTCCTTGCTGCTCCTTGCTGTTTCCAGAAAGTACTTTTGTTTCTATTAAAAATAAAATGAGAGTTGACTCTAAACATCTGATGAGGCTGCCTCTCAGGTGCCTGATGATTGTCCCATTGCTCTTCTGGTTAGTGGGCTACAGCAGGGCTTCGGGGAACAGTGGGTAGTTGGAATACCTCCATGCTAGCAAACTTAACATGTGGTCAGTGTCCTTGACTCTGAACTGGAGGTTAGGAGCTCTGTTTGTATACACTGTTACCATGAATTTGCCTTCATTCGTATGTATCCAGTTGCAAAGGGACTGTGCCCCAGTGGTGTCCTTGGGAAGTCCCATTATTTTTCCTGTCATGCTCGGCAGAGTAGGGGATGGAGCATCTTGAACTTGGGCTTGACCCACAGTACCTAAGTTCAAATTCCAGCTCTATCACTTAAACTTACAGCTTCATCTATAAAATCTAGGTAGGTGACAATAGAATCAGTGAATAATAGATTTATTCATTTGCTCTATCATTGGGTCTTACATAACAAATATAGAACTAGAATATATACTATAGAATGTATTCAATTATATTTAGTATACCCAAGAATATTATTTATGTAAACATCGAATATTAAGATAGGTAACGAGAAAATAATAATGCCTAGAGCATCTGATACACACTAAGCATTGGTTTAATCCTATTATTACAGATACTAATCTCAAGATGTGTTATAGCAGGTGCAGAGGCGGCAAGCAAAGCCTCATGCCTCTCCAAATGCTGAGGAAAAGATGGATCTATAGATGTGTGGCACATGCTGCTTCTACAGCATGACATCCAGTTCTCCAGACACCTATGTTCACCAATCAGGGACCAGTGAAGGAAGCTATATGCATCTGTACCTTGCAGCAGCTTAAAGAGACAGGTGTTGTTGAGTAAATGTATACTCACATTGCAACTGTATTGTTCAGCCAACAAAGCAAAATGAGGCACATTCATAGCAAATGCTTCTTTGCATAGGATATCTCTGGAGAGATATGATGATGAGGGGAAGGGTAATGCAGGCCAGGAGTGGGAATGGAAGAGACACTGTCTTTCTGATGTCTGTTTAATAGGTTGGTATATAAAAAAAAAAGCTAAACTTTCACAATTTCCTGTAAGTTTTAAAAAGATGCCTGTTTTAGACAAAGTCATGACTCTTCTTGAGTTACCATCACCCCATGCTGATGTCCCTAAAGGAAACAGCTCCACCGTAGGAATACGCACTGTAAATGAAACAGGCCCTTAAATGTTTATGTGTTAAGGCAGGGAAAAATAGTGGGTACCACTAGAGTAATGAAAGCTAGGAAAGTCACAACTCTGCCTTCTCAAGAGTGTCCTACACAAGAAAGAATGGACCCATGACACTGGTGCTCTGAGGATGTCACAGGTGACCTGTCAACAATGTCCCACTTTCTATAGCTTGCTTTTCCCCTATGTATCTGAGAATACCTGATTGTAGGTAAAACTAGGTCATGCAGCCTAGTGTGAAAAGCACCAATATCAGGGTGTAGGATTCCCCCAAATCACCTTTATGAATTTGGGGTCCAGCCCAGAGCAGTCTAGTTGGTGCTTTTGATTCCTGTTCACAATGAGGGCAAATCTGTGTTCCATATGCTTCTTAAGAAGAACTCAGAAACATTCCTACTGGTCCCAGGCCAAAGTGCTGAATGTGTGGCAGCTGCTAGACCTTGTTTTAGGAGTGCAGACATCCCCACATACAATAAAGCTGTATTTTGCTAAATTGTATGGAAACATGTTTATAAACCTTTACTCCAAAAATCACCAATTATGTTTAATTATAAAATACTGTAGGCAGAAAATGGCCTATAACAGTCAACCTTCCTACATGGCTTCCTTTCATTAGAAACTCAGAAAAATGTACAAAATCCAATTAATTATCAGGGATACAGTCTCTGTCTGCCTGCTAACAAAGGCCATCCATGTTTGAATCAATGTATTTACTTATAGGTTTATGAAGAATAAGTCAATATTTCTACCCATCTAGTATCTGTCTTTTCCTAGCCCCTCTGTCTAGATGTTCTAACATAATCAGTGTGAGTTAAATGCTTCATTTGTGACTTGAAGGGGTTACAGTTCCAGAGAATAGAATACAACTTCTATATTGGGTAACTTATTGACCATATATCTCCTGTGGATTCTATAGATACCCTGCTGATAGTGTCACTTTTGTGAGTTCTGAAACATGGCCTTGAACACCAAGCCAGTGAGAAGGGCCCCTAAATATTTATTTAGGGGAAAAATGAATGGGTACCACTGGAATAATGAAAGTCAGGTGATTCACACTCTGTTTTCTCAAGTGTCTGCTATGCAAGAAAGAATAAACCCATGACATGGGCCTGCACAGGCAAACAGTATGCATGGCCTTTTTGTTGCAGATCCTGGGGAGGATGGACTTCAAGTCCTTTAGTCATTCCCTGTACTCATTTTTTTTTTTAAATAGTTGCGACTAAATACCTAAATACCTAACAGAAACAATGTTTGGAAACAAGGATTTATTTTGTTTCACAGTTTGAGGAGCTAGATCCCCTCAAAGTGGGGAGGCATCATGCTGGGGCTGGTTTGGTGTTAGACCATAGGACCTTGTGAAGCAACTTCCTCATATTTCCCCTGACCAGGAGGAGAGAGAACTCCAGTCAAAAGCAAAGCAACCTTTAACTTTCATGTCCAAGCTCCATGACCCTATATATCCCAGTGAGGCCTTATATCCTAACACTTCTACCATCTTCCCAAATAGCGCCCCCACCTGGGGACCAACTATTCTAACATACAAGCCTGTCTGGGACATTTACACCCACACCATGAGTTGGTACCTTACTACTACAGGCTCTGCTGTTGTATGAAAAATCTGAAAAAGCAGCATTTATGCCCTATCTTGTGATTTTTGCTTTTTGAGTTTATAAGTGGGAAGGCTTTGGCACTACACATTTCTTTCAAACAGAAACACCATCAGATTCCTTTCATGGCCTTGCTTGATTCACCACAGCATCGAACTGAGAACCAGGTGCTCAGCCTGATAGATACCCACTAGAAATGCAGATGCAGGTCCTGCAGAGAGGACTCAAGCTTGCTCAGTGGGACTTTGCAGTCCCCTCTCTAGGCACCTGCTTATGAGAGAAGGCTGCTGTAGAGGAGAAAGAGGGGCAGGCTTTTTCACAAGGCATGCTAACACCTCCAAGGAGGAAGGAAAATGCAGAAAGGATGGTGGCTTACTAAGTGCCCAACTTCCCCAGCAGCTATGTTTGCTTTATTCTTTTCCTTTATGTCTTCAATTGCAATGCAAGGAGATTGAAGTAAAGCAAAGCATAGCTAGCCTGTGGCCACTGAGAAACAAGAGGGTCATAAAACACAGAATGAGCTCTTTCCATGGGCTCCCTCTCTCCTTTGTTCTGCCCCAGGCTTCATCCTTTGGCTGGAAATGGGTCTCCCTGTGGGTAGTGCTGCACACCCACCCAGAGCAGACCTCTGCTTAAAATAGGGCAATAATTGCTTTAGCATATTTCTGCTCAGTCTCTACAGAGCTTGTATGACATCCCAATGAAGATGCAGGGAAGAAAGGGGCAGGGAAGCAATGAAGAAATGGAATAAACATCTCCCCCCTGCCTGAGAGGCAGGGGAGTCCTAAGCTATGTCACCTACAAGACCTTCAAGGTGATCCAAGCAGCAGAAAGAAGCAGAGTTGCTACCATTGGGGAGAGAATCAACACAAAAGAAATGGGAAGAGAGCTGGAGTGATTCAGTGGATAAAGTATTTGCCATGCAAGTGTGAGGACAAGAGTTAGGATCTCGAGAACCCATGTAAATGCTGGCTGGGTGTTACAGTCAGCCTGAAATTCTAACGTTTGGGAGGCAAAGATGGTGGAATCTCTGCAGCAAGCTGGAGAGTTGGTGGACTTAACTGAGACTATCTGGGTTCAATTAGAGACCCTCTTCAGTAAGCAAAGTGGAGAGGGGCTGAAGAAGGCGTCCACATCAACTGCTAGCCCCTGCATACATACAAGTGTACTGTATGTGTAAGCATGCATACACAGGTGAATACATACATCACAAACACGAAAGGGGGTGCTGCAAAGGTTGGGTAGTATGCAGAGGTGAAGCACACTGAAGAACCCTTCCCCTGCAGGAACTAGGCTTCCTGGGGATGCCAGCTCTGCTCTAGACAGAGAGAAACTTTCTTCTACCCACACAGATATAAGCAGCTTTTCTTTCTGAAGGAGTAGATGAAGGGAGGAGGGACCAATGACCAGAAAGGACAGACTTGTAAACGGTATTTGTGGTCACCAGCGACTGCAGAAAGAGCCTGCTCCCTGTGGAAGCCAGGCTGGGTAGCAGGGCGGTGAAGATTTCACTGTGGTGTTTGGACACAAACGGAAAGTCCAGGAGTAAGACGTACTGTACAGTGAAAAGAAAGAGATGGAAAACCCATTGGTATTATTCAAAGGTTAAGTTTCACGCCATGTGGAGAACTGTGTATGCAATTCGCACTTACTGTAAGACTTGTATACATAATGGAGGCAAACCAATAACGTATATTTCCCTCAGAGGGTGACCAGAAAGTATGCTGCTTCTCCTAGAGGTTTGTGAGATTAATGAAAAAAAAAAAGTCTAAGCAAATAAAATGTATACAGAAGGCAGAAGTTGCAATGCACACTCACACATTTGTATGTACACCCACTCTCGACAATGGGAGCATCTTTACTACATTGCAAGCACCATCAAGACACATGGTTTTGTCAGCTATTAAATCAGGCTCTGGATCCCCTCAGTTACTATCTCTAGAGCTCCAGTCTTTCCACAGTCCTTATCCCAAAGCACAACACTTCTGATCCAGAAGCATGTAGGAAACATTTTTAGCACTGGTCACATCTGACGAGGTATTTTAGTTTCTCACTAAAATCTCTTTCCATTAAACTATCTTTTCCTAAACTAAACTAATAATAATGATAATAATATTCCACAAATGCTGACTTTCAAAAATCTGAAATTTAGAAAAGCATTTAAAAATTAAAACACTGGGCTCAGAGTGTGGCTCAGAAGTAGAGCTCTTGCTTAGGGTATCCAAAACACTGGATTCTACCTCTAGAAGTATTTTTTTCCTTAGGGCCAGAGTGGTGGCTCAGAGGTTAAGAGCACTGACTGCTCTTCTGGAGATCCTGAGTTTAATTCCCCGCAACCACATGGTGGCTCACAAACATCTGTAATGAGATCTGGTGCCCTCTTCTGGCATGCAAGCAGGACGCTGTATACATAATAAATGATTTTTTTAAGCTATAAAAGCTGACATTCTGAGCCTCTCTGACAAAATGCCTACAGTGGCTGCATAGGGCAGGTAGGGCCTATTTCCTGGGTACCATATGTGACCTTTCCCTTCATTTCTTTCACTGTCATGCTGGATATACTGTAGAATTAAAGCCATGCTTAGGCTTAAGGTCTTGGTGGTCCACACACAGCAAAATCTGGGTGTTGCTACAATCAGTCTCCTTGTGTTTAGAACAATACTCACAGCAATATCTGCATGTTGCTTCTGAAAGTAAACCTGTCATGGACAAATACAAGCCCCTGTCACACAATGTGCCTCCTGCATTAGCAAAACCAAGGCTCTTGTGTAGAAGCTGGATTTGGCAATAATTTGAACACATCCTCCATTTCTACTTTTATGGAAACAAGAAGCAAATGGGCAAATGAATGCACATGGCATGGACTTAATAGTGAGCATGAAAAGAGAACTCCGAGAAAGAGAACCTTCACTTCAGTCTTACCTCAAGATCAAGGTGCTTAGCCAGAAACTGCCCAGCTTTGTGCCGAGTGATAACGAGAATAAAAAGGACTAAAAGCATGATTTGGAATGCTAAATATAGATAACCAAGATGGGGCCTAACCTGTGAGATATAAAACAAAGGATTTTTATAATGCTTTGATGGATCTGATGACAGACCCTACCACCTAGGACAGTTTTCCATTAAGAACTTGTTATTTGTGGCAGCCTGGAGGTCTGGGGCCGGGAAAGAGACAAGAAACATCTGCTTATCATGCAAACCCTCTGTCCACTCCCACTCCATCTCCCCACTAGTCCTTCTAACCAGCAGGACCCCATGTCCCCCATTTAGGGTAAAAATACTTCTGAGGACCCCATGTCAGAAGGGGAAGCAGATTCTGAGATTGGAGGATTCCCATGCCAAAGACTTTGCCTGGGCTTCTTAGTCCTGTTTGGAGCAAATAGAATGCCTCCAGAGCAGCCAGAGAGCTTCCTGACCAGGGTTCCCCCAGTTTCTAGCTCTATCACATGCTTCAGTCATGTCACCCCAGACAGCTGGAAGCATGTTCCCTGCCCACAGCCTCTTCTAAGAGTGTCCTGCCTTCTGAAGTCGACTTTGGACAATATGAATTGGAGAAGTTCCCAGTGGCCTCCATGGAAAAGCACATGGCATGTGAAAATAGTCACTAGGAAAAGTCAAGCCCCAGAAGGAAGCTGAGTCAGCAAAGCTGGCTGGATCCCTTGGCCTTCCTCCCCTGCGACTTGGACACTTAACATCCTGACATTTCCATCTCTTCCCCAAAGGACCATCGTGTCCAATGACATGAACAGGTGGTGTCTCACCAAAGCTCTATTTCCTGATCCCTCCCATATTGTGGAGAATGCCCGGGTTGTTATTTATTCCTCTCCACTAAGAAGGTTCTGCAGGAAACGGAACAGTCTGTGGACTTCACTCAGGAGACCACTTAGGCTGGGAAAACTAGAAATGTGTTTAACTGGTTCTTAACAGCTACTGTCTTGTGAGAGTATTTCCTGTATGCCCTAGAAAGGGAGGGATTTCTTCGTGAAAGTTATACACATACATATAATCATGGGGAAAATCATTGAAAAGTGCCCCCACCACCGCCCCAGCCAATGCTTAATATACAAACAGGGCAAAAGGTCACCAAATCACCAGGTCCTAGATGCTGGCTAACGATGGGTGAGAGATGAGGTTGCCAGCTGCTGGCAGTTTTAAATGCTCTGCTCCTACACACTGCTCCTGCTGTCTCAGATCAACTTGCTCTACCAGCAGTGAGCCACACTCCGTCTGGAGAGCAGGTTCCCCGCACCCCTTGTAACATGCTGCTGTGCTCCACAGGACTTCGGCTGTGCTCCTCTACCTGGCCTTGTTACACTTGTACATGAGGGCAAGATCAGGTCTTTGAGGAAGGAAGACGGGTTTCCCTTGGGCCTTTAAAGCCCAGGACATCATTTAGCCCAGAGCTTCACTGAGGATACCATATCCTGTGTTCTACACCTGATTCTACCCTGCTGCTGCAGGACTGAGTGTCATCCTTATCACTCCACCTGACACACTCCAAGGCTATCTGAGGTCTCAGTGTGGGATGAGCACAGGCCCACTTAAAAAGTGAAGTTTTAGGCAGTGGGTCCTCAGGGCACACAGGTGCTTGTTGATTTATGAAAAACATGTTTAAATGGTCATTATTAATATATATGTGAATATTGGGTCATGGAATTGGGACATAAAGGATGTCTTTGGACTTTCTTGTACCATTTCTGCTAGCTAAAACAGTGGCTTGTTTCATTTTTGTTTTTTGGGTTTTCGTTTTGTTTTGTTTTTTAAAATACTCCATTGATGAAAGATTCAGAAAAGTCTGGAACAGAGCAGTTTGTTATATAGTCTCTCCCCAGAAACTACAAAATGACTACCTCTGTGCTTGTGATAGGCATAAACAGATAAGGCATAAACATCCAAGTAAAGTAGTAGTTACTAAAATACCCAGGAAGTCCCATGGAGTCCAGTATTTCATTAAGCCTGCTCACACACCTACCTGCACAGCCTCAATATTGTGACACCAAATCCCTCTGGATGGCTGAGTTTGCAACATACTTCATTTCAGAAATATGGAAAGTGATAGAAAGAACTTAGAATATGGCACAAGAGAGTTAGTAGCCCTTCTCACCCTGGCTCTGTCACCCATCAACTATGTATCTATGAACAAACCACTCACCCATCCAGTCTCAAGTTCTTCAATCATGTTGTAACAATTCTATAACCTATGAACACACACACACACACACACACAAACACACACACACTTTTATTACTACGTGAAGTGTCATTTTTTTAATCTGAAAGATATGATTAGTTAAGACTAATATTAATAATTAAGACTGGAATATAAGAAGCTTTAGTTGCCAATGGCCAGCTGTTTAAGGAAATCATTAGTGAACACGTTTCATTGTTCAGTGAATTCTGACAATGCAGAATGACACTAATATGTCTGTCTTTGTTTCTAGAATAGCACCTGAATGGCAGTAGGGCAAACCCAACCATCTTCCAGAGCCTGCAAGCAGCTGTATAGACCCCTTGGCTTCTGTCTTGTCCTCTGGACATGGCAACTGCACCACTGCATCCATATCACCAGAAACAGGTGAGGGGGCATGAAGCTACCTAGAGGAGCCAAAGAGACCCGAGACCCTTAAGTGTACTTGAAATGCAAAGTCAGATCTAAAGTGAGGACAAGAGCCTCTGGCTCTTCCCTTCTGTGGAGACAGCTTCCTTTTGGTGAACATGCTTTAATCCCCCTTACCTCTAAAATGCCCTGAATGCTTTAGTCAGATACTCACACTGGGCTGGGAAAAGCAGCTATAGGGTGTATAGTGAGATTGGGGCCCAACTTTCCCTCTACATTCCGCCAGGAGTGATAGAGCAATTCAGCAATTCAAAGTCTAGTTGCTTAAGACATTTGGACCTTTGGATGGCAAGGCTGCAAACACTGAGGGAAGTGCAGTACCTGTACGTGTGATTGGCCCTCCTGATTTGTCACCTACAGATCTGGGCTCAGACACATTATCAGGACTGAATTACCAATTGCACTAATTTCTCAGCAAAGTCCAGTCACTTGGTTAAGTGTAGGATCCCACAGTTTAGTCTAGAATTGGGAAAGAACATACTTAGAGGCAAAGTTCCAAAAGGCACAAGACTCCTGACAGTCGCTATTGAGCCTTCCTATCTAGATGTAGGGGCCAAAAGCTGGGTCGGAGAAAGGACCTCTGAAATCCGAAGCTTTGATCCAATCCACCTCATGTGGAAGGCTGACTTGAACAGGGCTACCCACTCAAGAACACGGCATGTGATGCTCACCATGTCAAGGCTGCCCTCTGGCCACAGCCTGCTGCTATTTATACACTTGGGGATTAGCCTTTTTGTCCATGAAGATGCCTTTCTCCCATTAGTGCTAATGGCAGTCAGATGGCTGAACTGAAGCCATTTCATCTCCCAGATATTCTAAAAATACACTGCAGAGAAGGAAAACATATGCACTGTTTTTATTTGGGATTGTAAAATCACAAACAGAAAGGAACTTGGGAGATCTGGTCCCTTCCTGGTAGTGACGCCAGAGTGGTTACAGGTGTGTGCAGGTTTACAGGTGGGACAATGTGTAAGGTATGCTCAGGTGCCAGTGTATTACAGGTTGCTTTTCCCATTGCTATGTCTGAATTCCTGATCAGATGTAACTTAAAGGAGGAAGGACTTGGCTCACAGTTTGAGGGTAGAGTCCAACATGGTGGGAGGGCGGAGCAGTGGGCATGACTGCTTGCTCATTTGAGCACATCAGAAAGCAGGGACAATAGAGGGAAGCAGAACTGTGGACCTCAAGACCCATCCCCAGGAGGACCCACTTCCTTCAGCTAGCTCTCACCTCCTAACCATTACATCCTCAAACAGTACTACCATCTGGGGACCAAGTGTTCTCACCCACTCAAACCTAAACCACCTGACAAACACGCCCCATTTTTCTTGGATGACTGGGGTGCTGGCATGCTCTGCCTGGTATGTTGACAAGGAATGATTCCTTCATGTTGGCTCAGATGATGATCTGTGTTCCAGAAAAGTACATGGCAGAGAAAATTTCTAAAAAAGGGAATTGTATTTTCTTAACAACTCTGTTACTCACTTGTAACAGCAAGAACAAAAGGGAAATGTTAGTCAGACATGAGAAAAATCACACTCAAAATACAAAGATGCTTCTCTAGATATACATTGAAGGAAAAGGCTGTAAGAAAAATGCTAACCAAAGGCTAATTAAGTGCTAATCAAATACTAATGTCACCATTCACCACACCCCAAATGTCACTGAAAAGTAAGGCTTAAAATGAACTTCTGCACTCAGCCCTAAATAGAATGTCTTCTTCAGAGCTCAGGGAACCCTTTTTAACAGAAGGGGGAAAGATGGTAAAAACTAGAAGAGATGGAGAACACCAAGAAAGCAAAACCCTCTAAAGCAATCTGCACAAAGCTCATATGAACCCACAGAGACTGAAGCAGTATGCACAGGGCCTACTGGTCTGTACCTGGTCCTCTACTCTTATATTATGGCTTCTAGTTTAGTGTTTTTGTGGGATTCCTGGTGTGTGAATCACTGGCTCTCTGATTCTTGTGCCTTTTCTTGGACTCTTTTCCTTCTGTTGGGTTTGTCCTGTCCAACTCTGATGTGATAGTTTTTGTTTCCTCTTATATTTTATTATATATTTCTTAAAGTAAATGAATGGATGAATGAATGAAAACCAAGCCACTAGGGTAATGATGGAACTGGCATTTATACATGCTAGGAGAGGGAAATCAGTTTTCTCCAATGGAATGACAATAGGACTATCAACTACTCCAGGACAGATCTTACATTCAGGAGTAGTTGATCATTATTTATTAATAATGAACTTCAGTTTTGGTGCTTGTTTGTGTTTGTGTGTGTGTGTGTGTGTGTGTGTGCTTTTATTTCATTACTTTGTTTTTTTCTGCTTGGGTGTTATTTGTTCTGTTTGGGTGTCTTGTTTTCTTGGCTTGGGGAGGTTTTGTCATATTGGATTTTTGTTAGTTTTTTTGAGAAAGAATTTAAAGTTGGGTGGGTAGGGAAGGGGAGAAGATGTGGAAGGACTTGGGGGAGGGGAAGAATATGATAAAATAGATTTCAATTTAAAAACTTTTAAATAATACAAATGTAATAAAAGAAGAAAATATGCATAACGGGTTAAAAACCATTATATCAAGAATATTCAAAGAAATTATAACCTTCTAAGTATATTCGAATAAATTATATTTTTCCTAGATTCATTCCAAAATGACACTTCCATTTTCCCGCTTAGAAAATAGAATGTTCTACTTAAAGGAGTATGTGAACTTGCTAACCCCCAATTTACTCTTTTGTGATAACCTTTTGTACTGAAATAAAATTGCATGTGTAAAAATATTTGGCCCCAAAATCTATATTACCCTATAATTTTAATGCCAACTAGTTAGACTAATCATCCCAAATATTAATGGTTCATTAAAAATAACATGAAATAAATTAAAATAAACTTCTGGTCAGCCCTGTTTTCTACAGTGTGATAAGCTTTGTATGTGGCAAGTTTGTCTGTGTTATATTGTTTCTACCTCTCTAATCTTCCATGTCACTCTTTAGGGTCCTTTTCCTATTGTTGAATTTGTAAGCAATTTGAATTTCCCAAGCACAATTTGATTCAGTGCTTGGGAAACCTCAGGCATACCTTATCTCTGCCTGCCTATAGAAGCTGTCCTCAGGGACTAGGGAACATAGAGTGGTCTGTTCAGCATCTCATCTGCTTGAAAATGGTGAAGGCATCAGAAAGATCATCCACCATCATCAAGCCAGGCTTCATCCCAGAGATACAGGAATGGTTTCTACATACATAAATCCATAAATGTAATCCACAATAGAAACAAACTGAAAGACAAAAACCACATGATCATCTCATTAGATGCTGAAAAGGCCTTTGACAAAACCCAACACCCCTTCAAGATAAAAGTCCTGGAGAAACTAGGGATACAAGGGATACACCTCAGCATATTAAAGGCAGTTTATAGCAATCCCATAGCCAACATCAACCTAAATGGAGAAAAACTAAAGCGATTCCATAGCAAGGTTTTCTACTCTCTCCTTATATCTATCTCAAGATCCAGTTCTATCACTCCTGGGTATATACCCAAAGGATGCTTCATCCTGCCACAAAGACATTGCTCAACCATGCTTATTGCTGTTTTATCATAATAGCCAGAAACTGGAAATACCTGAGATGTCCCTTAACATATAAATGGATAAAGAAAATGTGGTACATTTACACAATGGACTATTACCCAGCTATTAAAAAAATTGCATCATGAAATTTGCAGGTAAATGGATAGAACTAGAAAAAAAGTAATCCCGAGTGAGGTAGCCAAGACCCAGAAAGACAAATATAGTATGTAATCACTTATATGTAGATATTAGCTGTTAAGTCAATGATAAGTTGTAGAACCACAGAGGTTAGGTATAAAGTAAGGGACTGGGGGTACATATAGATCTTGTTAGGAAAGAGGAGTAAATATATAGCAATGGATGGAAGGAGTAGGGCATGGAGGATCAAGTTGGGAAGGGGATCAGAGAGGAAATATGGGGGAGAGACAGCTAAAAATTAAGGGCTATTTGAGGGGTAGTATGGAAACCCAATATAGTAGAAGCTTTCTAAAATATATACAGATACGAAGGCGATCTAAATGAAATCACCAAATAATGGGGGAGACAGAGCCCCAACAAGACATCTCTTGTCACTAAATGGAGCTTCCAGTTCCAGGATTGGCTTACATCTGATTGAGTTGTTAGCTAAAGGGGTCCCGTAGAAATCCCCAAACAACCCAAGCTGTTGCCAAGGCTACAGGTTGCTCTCTATAAGCTGATGGCAAGGCCTCAATGCTGAAGACAACATTTATAGAACTTATTGAACATATAGACGGTGAGCAAGTGCCTACACAGAACCTTAAAGCCTATGTTTTCATGTCTGGTACAAGAAGGTACTCAATACCCTACTGAAAGAGAAGGAAAGGTAAGCACTACATCAGTCACAAAGGCTTTGATCTACAGTGGTGTCAAAAGAGAAAGGTAAGCACTACATCAGTCACAAAGGCTTTGATCTACAGTGGTGTCCTGCCTGCAAGATATGCCAGAGCAATGGTGACATAAAACTGTGAGAGTAACCAAGC